CGTGTTTAGTTGTATTTCAGTCAGTTTTTTACGAATTCCTAAAAGTAACGGCGAATTGAGGTGAGAAGTATGCGAACCGATGCGAAGAGACGAATATGTGTATTTTTAATCTCATAGAGAAATTTCTGGTTCCTGGCATCAATTCGTAATTTACGAATTCGTAAAAATAACGGCGGGTTGAGGTGAGAACTATGGGAACCGATGCGAAGAGACGGTTCTTACTTTTCTTAACCTCAGAGAAATGTGTCTTGTCCATGAGGTCAATTCGTCAAGCATATTCGACGAATTCATAAACAGAAGGCGTAAATTCGCATTTTATTGTCTAGGAACTTTTCTATAAGGTTAAACATAGATAGATTCGTCTCTTGGCATAGTTCTCACCTGAATTCGCCCTTATTTTACGAATTCGTAAAATGTGAATTGATATCAAGGACAAAAAATTTTGAGAGGGTGGCTGTGAGTGTTTACACAACAAGTCAAACGTGGTTCGCTGTATTTCAGTCAGTGTTTTGGAAATTCGTAAAAATGACGGCGAACCGATGCAAGTAGATGAATCTATCTTAATAGACTACTGTAGATCGCGATGAGAATTTGCAAATAAAAAAGAAGAATTAGACTTTTAGCTTTTTTGATTGCTTGGGTACAGGCCTCACCTTTCGTTCAAAGACTTGCATCAATCGTTAAATTGTGTTTTCTTTTTAATTTAGTATTCATATTCGCCTTAATTACATTCGTTCTACAGAAAAAAATATCCAACAATAAAAGTATTAGTCTAACTACATTTGATCGAACATCTCTTTTCTCTTTTGGTTTTTTAAAGTTTCAAATGTACCATATGGAAAAAATTGTTCACAATCAATTTAATTTAATTTAATTTGTTTTATCAGAAATTAAAGGAAATTTCGATGATACTAATACTTTATATTTACCTCCAAGACAATCATTTTTAAATGAATCAGAAAAGCAAACATATGAAACAAAACATTTTGAAATTATTCCAACTAAAAACAAACCTGTACTGATGAAATTGAGTACGTAAAATGTCTATAACAAATCGTATTTAAAAAAGACTGTTATTGTTCCAGGTGAGCCAATATTTCTCAACCAACTGTTCCTCACCAACTCTTCTGCTACTTGATTTGAGAACTGTGGAAAAGTAGTGTGTTATGAAAGTGTTCGGATGTGAATCGTTGAGAGTAACTTGGCCTTTGTCATAATCGCAGACGAGTCGCTCGCGGAACTGTCGGTAATCATTATTCCCAACAGAAGCAATTAGGAGTAAATGTACGATTTAATTTTTAAATACTAAGCCAGGGTATCAGCATGAATATGCATTGAGTAATCATACTCATTGATATTTGAACAGCCACATAAATACTTAAATATTCTATGAGTTCACCATTTTTGCCCGTGAATATGAATTTGTATATACGAATTATAATTTTCAGTAGAGATGTCAACATAAGCTTTAATTGTCGAAGGAAATAGGCTACAAACATCGATCTAAAGGCAAATGCATAAAATTGCACAGAAAACCATAAAGCGACATCTATCGGATGAAAAACGATAGATGGGCTTTTAAAACAGTAAATTTAATCTGAAATCTGGTTGTAAGTGGAGTGAGCGCCAAACGATGAAAACCAAGTGACTCGCATTCTTTTCGCTTATTAACATTTTTAAACATAGTCGGTGCCCTTCTATTGTAATCTTATGTTTGAAGTTAAAGTTTTCTGGCTTCGTTGTGAAATTTTCGATTCATTTTAGCTAGTAAACCGCTGTGGCACTATGCTAAAGTTACAGTCGAGAACCGACTACCATATGCGAGTCTTACGTGTATAACTGTAATCGGAATTATTGGTATTTATTTAATTTAGACTTAAAATTTGTCTGATTCAACATTAATATCTTATAGAAGCCAAGAAAAAGTAAAGAAACTGACAACGACAAATTGTTTCTAATTAGAATCTCTATTTAATCTAAAATATTAAATATACAAGTTATATTCACAACAGTAAGGTTGTTGTACTACGAATAAGAAGTTTTTATACTCTGATTTGTTTGTAAATCGGATCTTGCAAAAATATCTGCGTGTAAGCCTCTAAGATCATGTCTGAACTCGTTATAAAAGAACTAGCGGTTTCTTCACATTTTACCTTATACCATTCCTTAGGTTATTCTTTGGCATGTGTACTCTAAGGATCGGCGATTTGACAAGTTGCTATTCTTTCTAAAGTATCGCGACGAATCCGACAGTTACAAAATGTGCAAAACGATTATCCCTTCTTGACGATTAAGGTGATAGACTCCTCTGTTTTGCATCTGATTTCTCTGAACATTTCGAAAAAAACTAATTTAGTATTTAATTTGTGATTAACAACCTTCATTGGGGCAGTATGCAACACATTATTTCCACCACTAAATTTCTATGCCTTTTCATTGAAAAATCCAGTTTTAATTCCAATCTTTGCTTCTGTGAGGAAGCATAACAAAGAAAGAATAATTTATTTCAAAACATTCGATGAGAGAAACCCGACGCTTCCTACGAGGACTTTTTCTCGTTGATCGGCTAATCGATCCGTCACAGCTCATGGTGATTGGAGAGAAAACTGTGATTTCATGGTGCGCAATCGCGATTCTGTTGATTCTTTCTCTGTTGATCGGCAACGGCAGAACGCAAGAGAAAGTGATTGATCGATTTTTCTGCGCGTATAGAACGCAAGAAAAGCCGATAGCGAAGAGATTAAAGTGATGTCGCAATTATTTCGTTTCTTTTTCTTGTGACAGCAATTAAGCAATAACAAAAAAGAAGAGAAGTAGAAAGAAAAGGCAAAGAACATTTCGTTTATGTTGATCAGGCAGGCAAACACGCGCACTTTGACAACATTACATTCAAAATTGTAATAAGAATGAAAAGTAGAGCTAAAAACAGTGAAATTGCAAGTGTAAAAACGAAGTAATGTCATGTCATCAACGACGGAAGAACCAGATAAGTATGTATAATTAGTAAAAGGATCACACGTGTCGTGAATGTTTTTTTCCAATTTTTATTTCTCTGATTTTTCATGTTTAACTTTCTCTTTCTTCGTGTTCGTTTTGTTGAGCTCTTATTTACGCCTTGTTTTTTCTTTTATGTGTGGCTTAATTACCTATCCACTCCACCATTGGGCCTTCGAGCCCTGCACCTTGACCGACCCCAAAGTGATCGCGCTCGTGCGCTTTGAACGTTCGGAGTACGCGGTCTACCTCAACCCTACGGACAAGCGGGGCTATCGGTCGATCGTCCGATTGATCAACAACGACCAGATGGCCTCCACCATCAATCGAGAGTATACCTCATCAGAAAGAATTGGTCTTGCGTTGGTCATGGCATTAGTCACCGAAGCATATAGTCGCATTGTGCCGATTGCTCAAAATGCAGTCGCGGGCAACAATGCGCACTCGTTTGATCCCAAAACGGGCATCACTCAGCTTGGCACTCCCGAAGAACCAAGTTTTTTTTCATGGCCATGTATTTGGACGGGGCAATCCGGAAGAAAAATATATCGAAGACATTCAGCTTGATGGTCCTATTCCTGGACTAATTTTTGATATGAGGGCTCAGTCTCCGCAAGAACCAGGCAACGATAAAAAAGTTAGTTGGAAACCTGGCGAAATGGGAAAAGTGGTTCTTAAATTAAAAACTGAAATTGAAAAAATTCACGAAGCTTACAAAGCTCAAGGTCTTACCGTCATTACCAAAAATAATGTAATTGATATCTACATTACTAGACATGGTGAAACCGATTGGAATATTCAAGGAAAACTTCAAGGGCATACAGATATTGCGTTAAATTGGCAAGGCGAACTACAGGCGCTACAGCTTCGA